GCGAACCGCCCCCATGGACACGGGCCCTTCCGTCGTGGCATCCGTCGGCGGTGGAGGCGGCTGTGATGAGGTTGAAGACGACTCCACCGTCCCGGTGCTGCCCGCGGAGTCCGAGTCGGAGGCAGCCTCGGCACCCGCCGCCGTCGCTGTCCCCCGCACCTTCGCCGCCCCAGGGCCGCCGCCGTCACGTCCCCGCCGCCACCCTGACTCCGCCGGCGCCACCCCGACCGCCTCCGAGCAGTCCATTTGCCTGCCGCCGTCCGGCAGCGTGGGCACGGAGGTGACGGGTGGGCTTAGGCTGTTGGAGCAGCGGATTGGTGCAGCGGCGGCGGCAGGGCTCGGTGACGCCGACGGAGGTGGCGGCGGCGCCGTCATTACTGCCGTATCATTGGCTCAGCCGCCGGCCTCGCCTTGCGTGTATCGGGCTGAGTCCACCTTGTCTCTGGCTGTGCACCGGGGGCCAGCGGCCATGGACTGGGAGGCGGACGGCCAAACCGAGGGTAGGAAGGGTGACCCGTGGTTCAGTGTGCATGATCTGCAGCCACATGGTTGCTCCTGTTCATCAGCCTCCTCATATCCTTAGAGGCCCCCCCTTACCCTCCTAGCTGCCCCCCTCCCCCTCTCCCTGGGACGTATCGAGGGGTTGGGAGGAGCACTTGCATGTCACCAGCGGCTTATTACCAGCTTATCAGCCAGTTCTGTCCAGGTTCCTCAATTCCGCCGCCAGGCCGGCGAACCACTTTCTTCCAGCTTGCGTCACACATTTTCTCTACTTACGTCAGCTTTTTGCTCTTTTCCGCCTTAACGTGGTTCGTCCTTCCCCTCCCCCTTCCCCTCCCCCTCCCCCCTTCCCTCGGCGCCCAGTCCGCGGACCCGAGCACGTCGCCGCCCCCTCCGCCACGGGGGGGAGAGCTGGGGGAGGGGGCCCCCGGGGAGGTCGCCAGTCGGGGGCACAAGGTCGAGGAGCTGCCAAGACCGCGCCGGCCGGCCGGTCGGCAACCGCCGCATCTGCAAATCGGTCTGGAGGTGGCGGAGGTGGAGCCGCTGCCGCTGCGGGCGCAGGACTGCCGGCTCTGCAGGGGAAGCGGGGGAGCGGCAGCGGCGCCGTAGGCGGCGGCGGCGGCAGCGGGGGAGGTGGCCACAACGCCAGCGGTGGTGGCAGCAGCCCCCGCCACGTCAGCATCCACCCCTCCCTCACCACCATCCCCGCTCCGTCCCTCTTCTCCAAGTTGATGCTACCGCCGCTGCCAGCCACACCCTCGTCACAAGGTGGCGGCCGCCGCAGCTTTGACGCGGCGGCGGCAGCGGCAACGGCGGCAGCGGAGCCACCGCCGCTGGCTTCCCTGCGCAACGCCATTGCCTTGCTGTCACGTAAGTCCGCGGGCCCGGGCACCGGAGGCGCCCCCCCGCTGCCGCACTCCCTCGCCGGCGAGCAGCTGAACGTCCGGGCCACGTGGTTGGCGGGCAAGCCGGTGTACGGCGACGCCGTCGCCACGACCTGCCGCCAGAGCCCGACGCCCCAGACCCGCAAGAATCAGCACGTGATGAAGTGGC